ATTGCTATACATTTCGTTTATAGTAGCTAAGTCTCTAACTCAATATCATCCAAATTCTTCGACATTGAAAACACGAATTATTTGTCAATTTAAATCAACATTGATGTTGTCCATAATAACACTCACTCAGTGACTACAAGTGAATATTATGAGCAATACCACGTAAAAGGTCTAACACAATATGGTGAATGTTTAACTTATAATGTCCAGTACATGCTCTGTTCAGTCTCTATACTTCGTGTGTGTTCTCCAGTTATTATCTGTCCCATAGTAACTTCTTGTAAAGCTTGGTGTTTGTTCAGGGCATCTAGAAACTTCCATATGTTGACATGACAACAACTAACTGGAGTCTGAAATCATCTGTGCCACCCTTCTATATTGTTGTTCGTTCTTGGAAGCTGGACCATACGTTCAACTGTATACATATTCCTACGGTTACGACTATCAGGTCTCCAAATGTCGGTATCATTCTGAAGTCAAGATTGGATTCATTGTCTGTTTGGTAACGTTGATGAGATCCCTACGTCTGCAATTTACGGTATATCTCAGTTTCAGGAAAAGCTCTCTGGATAGACTATTTTTTAGTCATTAATGGCAGACAACAGACGAAAATCTGACTTTAATACTAGCAACTGGGAATACACCCGGAAATTGGTATCCCCAGTCTTGTTTTTAAGTAGAGCACCAACACGTGGAACTATGTGGTTGTCGATAGGAACATGTATGGTGTAAATCTGGTAAAATATTTCAGGTGCAACTTGAGCGGTTTCATCAGCCAACCGATGATCGGTTGAGGTCGGGACCCTCAGGTTGGTCACTGTTGAATATAGTAAAACTCCACCTGGATTGTTTGTACCACTGCCAGACAGAAGGAAAGATTCCCCATTAAAATTTTCTTTGTATTGGTCCGGTATTTTCATGGCCTGTTGAGTTGGTGGTAGAGGTACCAGCTTTCCTGGTAGTAGTCTTGAAACATCTTATAGTACGTTTGAGGTGTCTAATAGGTGGAAGCCGGGAAATGGTTCCTTCTGATAGTTTTGAGACTGCAGCAGTGACAATTGGTTCTGCAATCTCTTAAGTTCAAGTGGATTGACTCTTTATGGTATTTTAACCCCAAGAATCATTTGACGTACTGGGTCACCAGCGTGAGTTTGTTCACTGTTTCTAATTGGCTGACCTCTTCTCTCTGGATCTTTACTGTGGTTTTGCATTTACCATGTCTGCGTTTCTCGCATTCTCAGACAACAGCACCATTAGCAAGGACTTTTGCAAATTTACTGTTCATTTTATTATAAGCATTTTCAATTGTGCTTATTTATGTGATTAACAGCTATTTTATAATGTTTTGATAATGATTAATGTATAAATACATTATAGTGTGCATTCATCAATTAATAAACTATATTAAAAACAAATAAAATCACTGACAATAAGATTAACAGTTATGTTTTTATAATGATTACATATAATGGCGATGAAAAACGTCGAGGGTTTCTTAATACCTAAAGAGTTCCTGTGACTGTTCAGGTGTAACTGTTAAACTAGGTGTGGCACTGATTGGTGCACTTATAAAAAAACATCGACTGGACTGCACTGACATACTTGTGGAGACTTCAAAGGTCATAGCTGTAGCACCTCCGAAACCAGTTTTAGACAATTCTGATACAGTGCTCTGGTACTAATGCAATCAGTCAAATGTTCTCCATAATGAGGTACAGATACTTTTATTACTTTCTTTGAAAGTAATAAAATGGGTATGGGAACTTGATTTGGCAGGTTATTGCAAATGCTTTTGAGTTTGGACTAATAGTGTATTTCTCAGTTATGGCCGATGCATCTAATTTACATATTCTATATTATGCAATACCACTGTGATGTTCTCCTAGTGTTTTTCGGCACCCTTGACCCTGAAATTATGAGCGTAGATACTGGTTTCATGGAGCTAAGTCAAAGAGTTTCAGATTTAGGGGGAAATATAAGTTTTTCACTAATGGCGGCTGTTAATTTGCATATTGTGCATTATGTAATAAAGTGATTATATTCTAAATGTGTTTATTTGCTTCCCAGGCCACGAAAACATGGGTTCAGACACAATTTCCACCAAATTTGAACATTCAATAGCCAAGTTATAGCATTAAGTCAATTTTTGAAATATGAAATTATGCTAATTAGCATATTACGCAATTTGACCTATTTCCACCAAAAATATTTTGGAACATTTTTGGGATGTTGTTTAGGGGACTATACTGAAATGCATCCCAGTGAAATTAATTGTGTTGCAATTTGTTTTGGGTCTAACCCCAGATTGTCTGGACTAGTAGCCGAGAGAGTTTTGACGATGAACCGCGTCCTGGAAGGCCATCAACAGAAAGCATTCAAGAAAAACTTACCCGGGTGCTTGACCATGACTCGACATGTCGCAAATGCTGTGGGCATCTTTATGAACGGGTTGAACACATTATCGCCAACGAGTTAGGAATGACAAACGTTTCTGCAATTTAAGATGGGTGCAAATAAGGCTCTTTATTGCTGATCAGAAACGTGTCAGATTCCTGACGTTCCGTGACAATCTGCGCAGGTTTGAAGTTGAAGCACATCCCGATAATCTTTTGACCAGATTTGTAACCATGGATGAGACCTGTTTCCAAAAATGAAAAAGGAACTATATATATAGTCGGTCGTCATTTTCCTAGTAATGATGACGTCATGTCAGCTGTGAAGGACTTTTTTTAGAGTGGTCGAACAAAATTTCTTCCTGACAGGCATCCAGGCCTTGCAACATCGCTGGCAAAAGTGTGTACACCTCGAAGGTGACTCTGTAGAAAAATAAATGGAAACCATCGACTTTGTACAGGATTTTTCACAGATAGGCTTAGAACTTTTCAATCAGCCCTAATAGAATATAACGCTGATGTAGGCCCTAAGTCCTGAAATAAGGTGGTGGTTATAATAGCCCGTTAAAAGAGAAAGAGAGAGAAATCGGGGTTAATGACTACTCGCCACAAACAGGTCATTTCGGGACTAACACATGGTTCAATTTTATTTCAATAATTCGCTTGCGCGTATGGGTCTTTAGCAGTGGGGGGAAACCGGAGGACCTGGAGAAAATTAACCGTCGAGAATGTACCGGCGACTCTACTCCTTGTCAAGTACAACCGGGGAATCGAAACCACGCCAGTTGACTCAATGACAGACCTTATGATACAGCGCGCATGTGCTAACCATTCGGCCAGCTAACCCCCAAAGCCGGTTAAGCGCCATCAAACAAGAAGCTGATTGATATCTCGTAGGGTATAAAAATCGTAGGAGGACATTTTAAATTAGTTTTAATAGGTTAACTTTTAAACTTAATTTTAAAGTAGCTAAGTCTCTAACTCACTATCATCCAAAATCTTCAACATTGAAAACACGAATTATTTGTCAATTTAAATCAACATTCATGTTGTGATCTTACCGGAAAAAGATGGGCTTTTGATATCCAATATTTAAGACAAAATAAACATTTTACCATTGGTACACGAATCGTGTACCAAAATGCGCTTTAGCCCCAGTTGTATCAAGAGACTCGAGGGACGAGGCTAGACACATTGCACCAAATCAAACGGCGTATGTAGACTGGAATAACCAGACGCTAGAAATTTGCACTCGCTTGAGACTGCTGGCTTATTTCGCCGAACATAACTGATTTGAAATTGGAGTAAAAACGGAAACCATTCAATGTAAATCAGTTTATATACATTCATACTACAGTATTATATGCGTTGCGACCCACTTTTGTCAATTTCTAGGTCCCAAATGTTAGCGATTTAGCTCCTTTAAATGACGATTATCAACCGATCGTCCGACTCTTATATGTGTATATATGGACTATAAACACTTCAAGCAATGCATAATTTGCAAAATTAGTTATTAATGAGGTAAAATCACTATAATCAAAAAGTACGTGGTAGGCTACCAAAGAGGGTTAATTGAGTATACTATCAGTATATTAATTATCTGTTATACCAGATGACAAAGAAAAAAAATGAGTATCACTATCCTAATGTCGAATAATTAAATAGATATTGTATATATATCATTCACATTTAACATGTCGCAGAATAGATGTTTGACAACTTCACTCCAAATTACAGGTCCACCGGTCAGTTTACATAACGAAATGGTTCGTGCTAAATCAGCAGAAATAAGGTTGGACATAGGCCTATTAAAATATGTCTAACCTTATTTCTGCTGATTTAGCACGAATTGTATTTTTCTGTAATGTAGCCTACATGGAATCGAGCGACTTCAATAATCATTTTCAGGGAGACTGTTCCAGATGGCGTAATACATCGGAATGGATTCAAATTCCGGGACGCACAAAACAATTTACGGAGAATTAACTTAAAAATACAATTCAGGGAAAACACGAAATTCGTTTTCTGGTTAGATTATATGCTCTTCATGCAAGTAGACGGGGGGCATATTGACCATATCTAATTTATCTATACAAACATCCTCAACGATAGGCCTAATAGCCTACACCCAAAATTTAGGTGGAATATTTTTTTGTATTCAAAATATGAAGTAAAATTACTCGAAACATTTTTCAGGATGAAATAAATTACAAACGTTTAATAGGCTAAATGTCTCTGGTCCCAATTTTTATCATTTGATTATTTTTTTTTCTTTTCAATATCACCCGGACCACGCAATTATTTAGTTCTTTTATTTGTGGACGTAGACTCTGTATGTCTAAACCGGGGTGGGTACAATAAATATCCGCTATAGGGTTATTGGATTTTTTAAAAAGTGAAACAACGGTACCGTAATTAATGACTTTTAATGGGTTTCTTTGGATAAATTTAACCCTTAAAATATGAAATAAGCGAGAAAAAAATATACGGTGGGATTTTTTTTTTTTTTAATTTGATATCATAACTTAGGAAAGAATAAGAAACTATTATGGGATGTATCAGTCAATTAATGACGTCAGACTGCGCATGTCCAATTAGACCCAGACCTTGCGCCAAATGCACTGCTGGGGTCGGTCTGCCGGTATCAACACCCAAAAATTTCGTCAAAGTTGATTGACCTGGCAAGTTTACACTCTGATACAGACCACAATCTTACCGTTATATATTTAGTTTCCAATCACTGTCACCATATAACATGGCAGGCGGTGGTAGGAAAGACGAGGAAGAAGACGAAAGCATGGAATTTGAAGAACAAGAAGGTATTATTATTGTGTTACGTTAATTTTGATCCGAGACCCTGTGTAATTAGAGTTACAATTTTGTTCGGCATCTTTGGTCTTATCAACATGTAAAGCCGGTATGGCGTATATTCGAGTTAATATGAGCTTCGTTGCATATTTTCCCATTTGAATATCAATAAAATATTGTCGGCATGCCACCTTTATGGGGGTTTTGAAGAGGTTATCTTTTTGGTAAAAGCTGGGAATCCCTCGCCATATCGTCACGATATACGTCTTTGTTCATTTGCATATCGAATGCCATATCGCGTAAATTTTCAGGGATTTCCCCGTTTTAATCGTTGAATTGTTACTTAAAGATGTCGACGAAGTTGTGTTTAACTTTATATTTGAATTTGGAATCGTATATTAAATGATAATTTTGTGTTTGAAAATGAAATAATTGCATGGGATAAATATTCGGATAAATATATCGTTTTGTGCGCATGTCAGTAGCTTCTGGGTCGTTGTTTGAGGTCAACCACGTGGTTGTATTCAAAACAAAATTGTGATTGTGTACCTTCGTCCAGATATAGCCGTGTTGACTTGTTTGGTATTGCTGTCATAATTCCAACCCGTCTTGTATCTGATCAAGACAAAAAAAAAAAATGAAAACCATGATTTGGCATATTTGTAAGCAGGGCTCCCATTTGTTTTGACTTTGATTGAAAGAAAAAAAATCCCTGGTTGATTATAGTTTTTATACTATGCGTGGAGTTGATTAAATTTAAGGATGTCAAATAGTCCAAGACTATCAAAAAGATGGATGGAATTCACAGGTTTTGGGTATTGGAAAATTTTAATATTTTCCAATTCTTAAAGTATAATCTAAGACTAATCAATTCAGAATCTGAACTCTGAGGGAATAAACAGATTTAAACTAAAACAAAAAGCCCCAATATTCCAGAAAAATTGGAAATATGGTAATACATCTTTTCAAAAAAGTACATATACTATATGGAGTCTCCAAAAAATCAAATTGGCCGATAATTGTCCATCTAAAAATTCAGGTTCCATTCCACTAATTTCACATCTCCATCTTAAACACAATGATTGTCAGTGACTGATGGATAACTTTTTACTGTTCATGAAAATCAAGTTCAAGATGTTATCTACCTATTTGTTTTAACTGTTGTCAAAACCAAACCAAATCAAAACACATATCGGCAAGTCTATGCACATACTTGTATTGTTATATTGTGCTGTTAAATATATTTGCTTTAAAAAAAATTAACTTCAAGAATTAACTTCAGACTCTTGACTTCTTTCCTAATTTCGGATTCTCTAGGTCCAATCGTAATCTAGTGTTTCTGCTAACTAACAAAATGACTTAATTATAAAAAGAATTTAGATTATTGTTTACATGTATTATGTGGATTATTTCAGAAATAGATCTGCCTTTTTCTTATGTTCCAAATGCTGAGACTTCAGGGGCGGGGCATGCACATTCCCCTTTCCCCCGTAAGTATCAGGCTGAACATTTCTTGGTGTATCTGTATATATTTTTGGTCATTTGTATTGCTTTTTTTATTTTGTGTTTGTTGAATGCTGCTGTGAGGGATATCAGTACTTTTATGGCTATTTTGTTTATTTTGAAAGGCATTTTGGAAAGATTATGTCTGCAGATGAATAAATAATTAGATTTTATTTGTTTATAAAATAAATGTTGTATCAGTAGTTAATAGTGTTCTCATGAATTTGTACATTCTCATCTTCCCCAAGTTAAAAATACCTGCATTTCATTTCAAGATGTGTAAATATTACCTTGGACAAATGGTGTGATGACATAAACATCATTATCTCATCTTTGTGACACCTTACATTAATTATCCAGTAAAATTGTTGGTTATATCATGCAGTGACATCCGCCTTTGAAATTTTATTTAAAAATTTCTGTTGGAAAACTAGGCTGTGATTTGTTCACAATTCCACATTTGATGATAGTAAAATTTAAATTTGCCAACAAAGTATCGAATATCGTAACAAATGGATTAGCACCCGACCATGGGAAGGTAGGACCTTCTACATTGTTCTGACGACTCCAGTTTGGGATTGACCATGTGTTGAATATTGTCGGCACCTCAGTTGGCCCATCAACACTTACTTGTACTCACTGTGCTTAAAAGTTCTTGCTCAGATTATAGGAGGGATCGCTTGCATTGAGGTACAGTTTTGGTGTGTTCCGACGAGTTTGTAGCTTAAGACCAGGCCTGCTCTAAACTGCTACAATTGTGAATAAATTTACATTTATCGTACTCGCTTGTGTACAGTGCGGACAACTGAGATGCTGGTGGACTTCTACTACTTTCCGTGGCTTGCCACATTAAAATATTGCAGTGTATGAATTTTAAATTTTTTGAAAAATATTGACACTATGATGTTATATAATTGTCTTTAGGTTGGTTATGGTTTCTGTTGAATTGAATGTAATCTTGAATAATATCGTTTTGGTCATTAATACAACCTTTTGACAATAAATATCTCTTAATGTGTGTTACAAAATCACCTTCAGGTGGACTACGGTTTTGGTTGAATTGAGCTTGGTCATTTTGTGTGCTTGATATAGAAGATATTTTATGTTATTAAAGATGCATTATTTAAGAATTAAATAAAGTGCTAGCCTTTCTTTCTATTGTTAAAAAAAAAATGGACAATGAAAAATAAATATATTGAAAATTTCAATCAAATGTGCTTTATTCTGTGCAGATTGTTTGTTATCACTCAATAACACATTCTACAGTACATGTAAATATTGCTTGTGTGATAACTTTTATATTCTACTGAGTGATATCTCCTAAGAAGATATCGCTTTATATAAAATAAATTCTTTACTAAAGAATAAAGTGAAGAAAAAACTTGGCAGAGCCTTGGTGTTTTTTTTACATTATCGACTTGTGTTGATATTTTTTTGTATCAAAAATGACATATGGGAGAATAGAGATTCTCTATGGTACTCGACAATGGAAACTAAATCTCTATTATCTTTTTATCGTTAAACACTTCAGTGGCTGTTGTGTTCTAATCTACTTCAAATTAGAGCCATCTGATGTTCTAGAGAATTGATCATGGGCATGTCATGTTAATAAACATTTAAATGATAATTCATATAACATTTGAAGGCAGATTTAGCACTTACATAATGCATCTTTAAGTTTTATAATTAGCTTGACTTGGGTGTTTGCTCATATAGATTATATAGCCATACCTCCTGCAGTAAGATATTATAGCATGTCTTGAAGCTTAGATATAAATATATTTATATGGTATTGGTACAAATGTATGATGAGCTTAAAAGCACTATGTATACTAGATTTATATAGTGGGTGAAGTCCGTGAAAAAGCTTTAAAGATTAAAGGGGATTGTCAATCTGTTTCTTTATTTTAACAAAAGATAGATAATGATGACTGCTACTCGATTCCGTTTTGAGAAATTCTAGATGGCTCCATTCACCTGCCACCCATAATTTAAGATGTAAATTGTACCAGATCTTTTAAGTGTCCCCAAGCTTTATGTGTTACGTGTGTACTAATTATATCAGAAAAAGAGTGCAATATCATTGCAGCCATCTCTGAATAGTGATGCCATATAAACAATTGTCTATAGATCGTACTCAAATGGTGGAGTCTAAGGCTTTTCTTGAAGAGTGTAGCCCCAAGAATAAAAAGATTATCAAGTGTATGTAACCAGTTAATGTTGAAATTAACTGTCAGACTTCTACTCTTTCTATTTTACAACTACTGCTCCTGTTTCTGTCAGTGACATCATGAACCCAAAGAATGGATGCTTCTAGAAACCTTTTAAAAGTTGATTCCAGTAGTTGTTATCATTATTTAGATATTGGTAAAAAATAGAAATAGCTTGACCATCTACTATAAAGAGACCTATATCAATAATACAAAAAATTGTTTTGAGTTTGGCATATTAAAATGAATACTTGTAGTCTACATCATGATACAGTCTCTTTATATTAGCAGGCTTTACACACTTGCATGGCATCATAATTATTTATGGATCACTATACAATCATGGTAGAATAACTACATCTGAATACATTTATTATGTCTATGATATCTATGTTATCCTTTAATAAATGTAGAAAATAATGGAATTTAAACATTGATGTTGAACTGTTTCCATTTAGATTATTAGTATTTTACATATTTAAACTCTGAATGCACTGGTTTTTAGTTGTAGGCTATTCCATATTTGATAATCATGGTTCCTTAAATTAACTTAATTTTTTAATACCGTAAATTCTTTTTCTTTAGAAGATGACGAATTAGCAGATGAGGTTACAGAAAAGAAAGCAAGAAAAAGAAAGGGTAAAGATGGAGAAAGGAAGAAGAAATCTAAAAAATCAAAGAAAAAGAAAGATGAATTTGAGGTAAACAAAATTTGCTGATTGTGGTTCTAGGCGGAGGACTGGGAAGTTCTAACTAGCTTAGTTTTCAAAAGTCGTTGCAACTCACCGCTGTGGAAAGTTTTAATATTTATTTCTCGAGAAATAAGCCTAATGTGTTGTAAACAAAACTGCCACACTCCAATTTATGTGCCAGAAACGTTTTAAACAAATTCTAAACGACAGCATTTTTTGTCCTCGCAATAATAAAAGTAGTGAGACGGCGAGCTTTCAGCCAATGAAAATCTAGTAAAGCGAATAACAGTAAATTCACGTGACCTTAAGGAGAATTTAATCGATCACCGTCGTTGTTTTGCTATAAGTATAATATAATTAGGTCGATTTTTTTTAGCCAAACTCGTTGTAAATCATATTTCTAATGAAAAGAAAGTGCACGCTATTAATACTGGTATTTACCGGTGTCGGCTAACATGTAATAAGTGCATAAACGTGAAAGATTTAGGTCAGCAATGACTCATTGGGTAGAGTGTCCAACTGACAGCTGCTTACCACTTGGCGATTATGTGCCGTGTTTTCGGACCCTTCACCCCATCAGACGAACAGTTTTCCCCGATGCCAGACAAGCTTTACCCCTCCCCCCGTGAAGCCGCTTTCGGTAATACCAGACGGGTTTGTCCTATCTCAACAAGTTCTTAGCTGTTTGTAGCCTGTGTAAATGTGATGAATCAATTTATTATTCTTAAGAAATTACACGACACTGTGGAATTAATTTTTGCATGCATCGTGTTTAACGTCCCACCACAGTTTCGAGTATTAAGATAATTTGAGAAGGGTTGGAAATGTTGTTTGATAGCAATGATATAGGCCTATATATAAGGCCAAAATTAAAAGATTGTCTGTTTGCCCAAACGCGACCGACCCCCAAAAAAAGCTGCTGAGTCAAATTCTTTTATTGCCGTTTTTGAGATTTTTTTTTTTTTTTAACAGCATTATTTTTAAGCTTGACGCGAAATAATCGGTCGGGAGATTGAACAGCCACTGTCATGTCTACACATAGTAACACCAAACTCGACACGTGATTTTGTAAAATCTCGTTATTTATCGCGATAGTTGTTGTTAAGGAACGGTATGTGTCATGGCAGACAATTACACACACCGAAAATAAAGTAACCAATCGTTTCGAACAAGTTGCAGCGATTTAACAACAGTAAGACATGGATGGAGGGACGTCTTTGATGATGTCACTGTTGATGAAATAGACACGAAGACAACGGACAAAATGGTTGTGACTGTTTCAACTGTTCTCGTTAGGCCTAATAAAAAAGTTAGAGTTTAAATATTTTTTTGTTTTTGCACTTAGTTCTCAAAGTCTGGTCCTCCCAAAAAAAAAAAGAATTTGCCTACCTACCTACCCATACCTAATCATCATGAGTCGGGTTTGGGCAAACTGAAATATTTTTAACCCTGGCCTAATCGAATATAAATATAGATAATTGCCAAATATCAAAATCAATCAAGGTGTGTGAAGCTATATTTTATTAGAGGCTCTCTTCCTACTATATTTGTCTTTGCGTGTGTAGACATACATACTTTGCATTGTCGAGTTCACCCTAATATTAACTGGTTAGAATAGATCCCCTAAGCCCACCCTTCCTCATCTCTAATAAAGTTGACACTGTAGCATCCATATAATATAACTATGCATAAATCAAATGCAAGGCCCAGCCCCCCTCCCCCCTCACACACTGCTTAATCCCCCACCCTCCATATAAGGTTGGAAATACCTTTTAATATCAATATACCCACAAAACGGAAATTCCTAAAGCCCGACCACATCCATACCAAAGGCACCCCTAATGAGGTTTGACAATGTAATAACAATTAACTGATGTTTTGTGGACAGTTATTTGTGTTTGCTAAATTATGACTCTTTGAAATTAATGCATAGGTCTTATACAGGTTGTGTTCTAATAACTGGCTAAAATGTCCCTTGTTTGTCCATTCCCCTATTTTAAAAAATATATATAGACTACATGGTCTTGCTCAAAGGAGCGGTCTATGGGAGTTTTAAAAAAAAATTATTTTTTTTAACTTTATTTATTAAAGATAATTGGATTATAGAGCAGGCAACCCCACTCTCCAAAAAAAAAAAAAAAAATACAAACAGATATAAATATTACAATCACAACATAATGAAATTACAATAATAAATCAAATACATAAATATACACATATATATATTACATACACTCACACACACACTACACATACACTAAGTTATTGATAATTAACATCAAACAACTGAGAAAAAATGTACCATAATAGACTAAAATAAATATGAATGCTGCACATGTCTGATATATAAAGAAATAGTTAAGATTTTTAATACATGTAGTTTAAAAATTAAACATTAAATATTACTGTAATGACTTTAATTGACAAAAGTTCTGATTTTAATGAAAATGAATATGGAAAAAACAGTATGTACAAGCTCTGTTGATAAGATATGAATTTATAGGCTTGAATCAGCATACAATAGGTATGTAAAAACATATATACAAAGTCATTTTAAAATTTAATAAAACATGTTGATTTTGATTTTATAATTATACTAAATCATTCATGGACTAAAGTGTACAAAATATGCATAATGAATTTGTTATGGTTAATATATGTTATAGCGAGTTCAATGATAGGTTCAATATTAACAAAGATTACTTGAATTGTAAAACAGTTCAAAATTTAAACTCGACTAATGATACAGATTTAAAACATTACTTTTACTATAAAATAAAACAAAATTATAATCTGATGGAATAACTTGATTTTAAAAATATCAGAAATCAAGAGAAAAAAAAATCACTAAACTTCAGCCGATCATAAGGGACAGACACAAAAAAAATCCCTGATGTAAGAGTTATAAACTATGTGAGAATGTAGCATTCAACTGAGGATAAAATCCATGCTCCCATATATTGCTTTAATTTTAGTAATGCCAGGTTAAAGGTGTACAAAGAATTGGGGATAGAAAATCCTTTTAAAGAAAAGGAAAAAATAATAATACTTTTATAACAGATATTTGTTGATGTAATAATGATAATATATATATTTATTTTTTTTTTATATATAGTTTTTACATTCAACATTCTACTTCATCATCATGATCATCATCATTATCATCCATAGCCATCTCTGTGGGTGTAGGTGTGGAATTTTGACAGTCTTTACATCCACATAGATCTGTACAGGAAAGAGTAGTTCAGCTCTGAACGTAGGTCTTATTACACTCGACCTCTACGTTCAGGGACTGTCCTATTGAATCCTTGTCGAAAATCTAATCGCTTCCCAGTCAATTTTACTGGGCAACTTTTTACTGCTAACCGGTCGCGTGTCAGTCCCTGTGAACGTCTGAACAATATAAATGAACATCTTAGGGAGAAAATAAAACCTTGCTTACCTGGCTAGAGTCAGTAGGCGTTTTTGTGAACCGATTAGATTAGACCGATTAGCTATTATACGCATTTGTGAACCAAGTTGATTATGCTAATCGTTACATTTGTGAGACGATTTAACTCAACTGATTAGGCAAATCGACCTAATCGTCCCAGGAGGTGTTTAGGCGATTAGATTTGACTTTTTCAAAATGGCGGAATGTTCGACGTCGTAAATAATTTTTAATGCTTATTGTTGTTTTTCTCCATAAAAAATGTTTTTTTAAAACGCATTTGACGTGTTTAATGTTAACTTTATAGTCCACAATAATGTTAGATCACCTCTAAGCAATTTTATTCATTTACAGTTTTTTCAATATATTCCTCGATCCTAGGTTTTCTCAGTAAACTTTTTACATGTTTTGTCACTTCAGTTTTCAAAAAAATACTTGAACTTGTTGGACATAGGAGATTGTTTCTAACGGCAACCATTTTTCCTTTTTTGCGTAGATAACCTTCATTTGTCTTTAACAAGTCATCAATAATTAGCAGAGACAATTTTTTTTCTGATCGGTGTCCGTGATGGCAGCCATCTTACCAAATCGTAATTATCAAATTTCACATTTGTGGACCATAGCTAATCAAATCGAAATCATACCAAATCGTACTAGCAAATCAAAACCTAATCTAATCGACTCACAAAAACGCCAAGTATGAGCGACACAACACGCTGTTAAAAAATACATCTCCGTCTTCTAACTGACTTGGCGGACATCATTGAAAGGGTAACACACAAATTTAAGAACTCGGCCATATAAAATGAAACGAAATTTAGGTAAGCCTGGTGCGAAAAAATTGGGATTTTTGAAAGAATTTGATTGTAAATTATTGTAATTTAGCTAGGCAAAGCAATAAATCACTGAAGATTCTCAACTTTTCAAAGATTTCATTTTTTTTTTCTCCCAGGCTTACCTGAATTTCGTTTCATCTTATATGGCCGAGTTCTTAAATTTGTGCGTTACCCTTTCAATGATGTACAAAGAGACGTGTAATTTAAAAAATTAAAATCTCCCACAGAGGTTGTTGCAACGAACTTGAACGATAAATTCCTTCGGTCTTTCGCCTATTCTGAATGAAACAGTTTTACAGTGACATGTAGCTGAATCATATCCCAGTAGGAAGATTTGCTGAGCTACAAACTCTCAACAAAGAAACCATTACCTATTATGCACACATTCTGGGCTGGTCTGCAAAACAATATTGATAAGAAACTGAAAATGATTTTTTTTTATACTAATGTTAAATGAAATTATGTTTGATTTACAAATATTTAACCTCAACAGGTACAACAAGATAGTGGTGAAGCTTCAGAAGGTGAAGTAGCTACTCCTGAACCACCAAAATCAAAGGAAAAAAAGAAAAGAGGAAGAGTTGTAAGTAGATTTACTCACACTTATTTTCCTTATTATAAGACAAAATGAAAATACTATATTAAGATCTTAGATAATTTCTTAACATTGAATAATCAAGTACTGCTTTAATAACAAATTATTATTTAAAATATATTACAGGAAGCAAATGGATCTGAAGAAATGTGTATTGCTAATGGTTGGGTAAATCCTGATCTAGAGTTTACAGATGAAGATTATCAGACCATCAATAATTATAAACTATTTAGTAATCAAGTTAGACCATTGATTATTGAAGCTAATCCAAAGCTAGCAGCAGCTAAAGTGGGAATGCTTTTAGCTGCTAAATGGAAAGAGTTTAATATTTGTGTTAAAGAAAGAAGACCATCCGGTGCTAGTCCTCCTGATCGTAAGTATATTTAATTAAACCCTCGCCTCATATTTAACAGTCCTTGACAATTGACAAAATTTTATCTAGATAACCTTGCTACAAACAGGGGTCCAGATCAAAGGTGATTAGTGCTTTCATTTAATTCAGAATTCTGTGACTTTATTCTAATGCTTAATTTGTCACATATTATGCCATATCTATTTTGCATGCTTGTCAGTTATTGAAATTTTAGGAATTTAAAGTTATTGTTTTTGTTTTAGCCCCAGCAGCAAAACCTATAGTAAAACCAATGGTGAAAGAAGTTGAAGAGACAGAACTATCAATAGCAGCAGAAGAAGATGATGGCGATGCTGATGATGATTATGAAGATGAGGAAGAGATCTCTCCCAAACCAAAAAAAGGAAGAGGGAAAAAAGCTGTAGCACCACTAAAGATAAAATTGACAAAGAAAAAGAAACGTAGAAAGAATAGCTCTGTAAGTATTTATTATTGAATTCTTAGATTGACTTCTTTTTGTTGAGCCAATGCAAAAGTAAAATAAATGTTGTGTTGTCAGCTCTGTGAACACAATGTGAACACATTGTAAAAGCATATCACTTAAGAACAGTTAACAATAAGCGATTTGAGCATACTTATGGATGGATTTGGCGCTTTAGAAATGGACATTTATTATTATTATTGTCTAGATTTGAACAATTGTAAAAAAAAATAATTTATAATTATGACAATTGCTCCACAAACTAGTACCATAGTTCTTTATAAAGGTGGATTAATTACAAACCATGATTATTGTAATATTACAGGATGAAGATGAAAATGCTGGTTTTAATACTAGTGATGAAGAGTTTGAAAGACAACTAGAAGAAGCAGCATTACTTAACGAAGGTGGTGGCGCAGATGCTGATGCTCCTAAAAAACGAAAAACCAAACGAGGTCGTGGTAAAAAGAAGAAACGACAGATGGGTAAAAATACAGATCCAGATGCCGAAGGTTATGAGGTAATAAAACATCAACTTGGTCATGACAAATTTGTGAAAGTTGAATTTCCAAATATCAGGAATATCTGTCCAAATATGATTTACAGTATTTACAAAGATATGATCAATGAAACATTTGTCAATATTTGGTATCTTCTGCAAACAATATAATGGGGATATGGTAAAAAAAAAAAAAGGCCAGCTTCACCACTCAAAAACTCAAAAACCATAATCTTTGTTATAATCTTTACATGTTTTTTTTTAAAATCAGATTGTATCTAAGCCAGAAGATATTCTTCGAACTATACAATTGACGATCAGTGGCTTTAAGTTATGATGGTCAAGACAAGTTGACCACTGTTTACACGTATATGCTTAATTGTATTTCTGATATTTATATTATTGTCGCTCAACCTTGTCAACTGTTTACATATTCAAACTTGAAAGATTTGTTTATTATTGAAAAAAAGCTTGATATTAAATTTAAACATACATTATGCAAGCGCTAAATCTGCCTATTGCAGGTCTTTCTTTAGGCCTGAAATGTTATCTAAATTATTAATTGGACATTAATTAACTTATCCAGACCATAATCAACTCTCGATGTCATCGCTAACCTGCAATATTGATTGGATTAGGATCCGATTTGCTGCTCAACTTTCATTCATGATTTAATCATGAAATGGATAATCAAGACTATGTTTTTTATCATACCGACTTCAGTAATGATTATCGAGGCTCGACCGAAAATTCAATTGCTAAAATCGCAGTTCAGAGTGGATCAATTTTTACTGAAATTTTCAGCAAATTCCCTTTACATTATCTAGTTTTTATACGCCCACATTTTCATGTGGACTTATATTGTCGTCACCCCTGTCCGTCCGTCCACAATTGTTTGTGAACAGTCTACAGGTCACAATTTTTATCTGATTTCAATGAAACTTGAAATATAGGTTTATCACCCTAAGATCTCGGTTCCTTTCGATATTGGCATCTATCGGACCGTAACTTCATGGATTATGGCCCCTGATTGCACGAAAAATCACGTTTTTGGCTTGTGAACACTGTAGAGGTCACAATTTTTATCCGATTTTGTTGAAACTTAAAATGTAAGTTTATAACCCAAAGATCTCGGTTCCTGTCGATATACGCGCATATTGGACCGTAACTTCCTGAATTATGGCCTCTGATTGTACGTAAAAACGCGTTTTTTGGCTTGTGGACCCTATAGAGGTCATAATTTTTATCCGATTTAAAAAAACGTATTATTATATCACTGTTAAACCCTAAGGACGGTCGAGTTTGAATTTCGTGAAAATCGGCCCCAAACTGACAGACAAAATGGCCGCCCTTCGTTCTCAAATAGCGTAAAAATATGGTATATCAAGGTTGTGGACCCTATAGAGGTCACAATTTTTATCCGATTTTGTTGAAACTTGAAATGTAAGTTTATAACACAAAGATCTCGGTTCCTTTCAATATTCGCGCATATCGGACCGTAACTTCATGAATTATGGCCCCTGATTGTACGCAAAAACGCGTTTTTTGGCTTGTGGACCTTATAGAGGTCATAATTTTTATCCGATTTAAAAAAATGTGTTAATATATCACCGTTACATCCTAAGGACGGCTGAGTTCTAATTTCGTGAAAATCGGCCCAAAACTGACTGACAAAATGGCCGCCCTTCGTTCTCAAATAGCGTAAAAATATGGTATATCAAGGTTGTGGACCCTATAGAGGTCACAATTTTTATCCGATTTTGTTCAAACTTGAAATGTTAGTTTATAACACAAAGATCTCGGTTCCTTTCGATATTCGCGCACATCGGACCGTAACTTCATGAATTATGGCCCTTTATTGTATGACAAATCGCGTTTTTAGCTTGTGGACCATATAGAGGTCATAATTTTTATCCGATTTAAAAAAACGTTTTATTATATCACCATTAAACCCTAATGACAGTTGAGTTTGAATTTTCGTGAAAATAGGCCCCAAACTGACAGACAAAATGGCCGCCGTTCGTTCTCAAATAGCGTAAAAATATGGTATATCAAGGTTGTGGTCCCTATAGAGGTCACAATTTTTATCCGATTTTGTTGAAACTTGAAATGTAAGTTTATAACCCAAAGATCTCGCTTCCCTTCGATATTCGCGCATATCGGACCGTAACTTTCTGATTTATAGCCCCTGATTGTACGAAAAATCACGTTTTTAGCTTGTGGACCTTATAGAGGTCATAATTTTTTATCCGATTTAAAAAAACGTATTATTATATCACCCTTACACCCTAAGGACGATTTAATTCGAATTTCGTGAAAATCGGCCCAAAACTGACAGACATAATGGCTGCCCCTCGTTATCAAATAGCGTAAAAATATGGTATATCAAGGTTTTGGACCCTATAGAGGTCACAATTTTTATCTAATTTTGTTGAAACTTGAAATGTAAGTTTATAACTCAAAGATCTTGGTTCCTTTCGATATTTGTGCATATCGAATAATAATTTCCTGAATTATGGCCCTTGATTGTAGGAAAAATCACTTTCGTTTAGCTTGTTTTCTATCCATCTCTCGAAAATGTGGGCGTATACTGCCTGGCAGCCGCTGGTTAACTATTATAGTGAGAAGTGCCAGCTCTTTATCTAATCTCCCATAATGTATCTTTAAAGACTATTGCATTATGAATTTTGATTTTGTTTCTCTTCAGACTGAACATCAAGATTATTGTGAAGTTTGTCAACAAGGAGGAGAAATTATTCTTTGTGATACATGTCCAAGAGCCTACCATCTTGTTTGTTTAGAACCCGAGTTAGAAGAAGCACCCGAAGGCAAATGGAGTTGTCCCCACTGTGTAAGTTATTGTTTATGAAATTAAACGTTCAGACATGTATGATGTAGTTTTAGGTTGAATTGGCCACTGATGATATGTTCTGATTCATTACCTCTGCAATGTGTACAGGGTTATAGAATGGTCCAGTCCATTGATCAGCTTTGAAAGAATATATTATATATTGTTTTGTAAAACATAAAGTAAGCCTTATCAGATATTTACATATTCTTTAAATAAATAAGTTGATATTTCTGAATACAGGAAGTTGCTGGTAACCAGGAACAAGAAGAAGATGACCACGCTGAGTTTTGTCGTGTTTGTAAAGATGGCGGAGAGCTACTTTGTTGTGATCAGTGTCCGTCAGCTTATCATCCATTCTGTCTAAATCCACCAATCAAAAATATCCCTGATGGTGACTGGCAATGTCCAAGATGTTCGGTAAGCTTTGTTATCATGCATGTCTAACTTCCACTGAACTTGACATCCCAACTTTTGATATGTCAAGTGTAAACGTAAAATTTAAAATTTGGTCTTTTCCTTTGTATGTAGTTTACTACACAATGACCTGGAGTAATTAAATTATTGTTAACTAAACTTTTGAATAGGTGTCTTGATATTATTTCTTTTATCTTGCAGGCTGTACCTTTAAAGGGTAAAGTTCAAAAAATTTTAACATGGCGTTGGGTTGAACCCCTCAAAAATGATGATGAACTAGATCATACACATCCTGATTCTGAAAAGACAAAAGGAAAGGTAAACATTCTAATGAATTTATCTAGTGATGCTGTAATTAATTTGCTATTTTATATCATATCCCATTATCCTGTTCAATATTTTAAGTCTGTAATTTTGTGTTTGTTTTGATTAAATATTATTTTTTAATTACAACTTTTGGAATTTCTGAAATATGAAGAAAAATGCATTTGTAATTTTTTTTCTTTCAGGCACCAAGATTAAGAGAGTTTTTCATCAAATGGCATGATCTATCTTACTGGCACACCAGTTGGATATCAGAACTCCAGGTAGGTTATGATATTAGGCCTTACCAATAGAACTTATGTTTGTGTACCAAACATAATTTTTTTTTTTCACCATCTCATTACTTCCTAAATCATAATTATTTACATATTTTATTAAAAGGAGATTGTTGGGACTATGAACTGGATAATGTTTATTATACATGTAACTATTGGAAACCAAATGTTGATAGATGTTCTCTAGGAACTTAATTGGTGTGGCCCGAGAAAGTAATGTTGATTACATGTTTTATCTTCTACAGCTTGATGTTTATCACCCAGCTACTTATCGTTGTTATATACGTAAATATGATATGGATGAACCACCACCATTAGAAGATGGCAGTTCTTATGGAGAAAAATTAAAAGGAGATGATCCTCATAATTTAGAAGAGAGATACTATAGATATGGTGTCCGACCAGAATGGCTACAGATTCACAGAATTATTAATCACAGGTATTCTTTGAAGAACCAATTATATTTTTATAGCAACTGATAATAATACAAATGCATGTAATTTTTTTATTACTAAGAAACTTAATCTCAACTACCTACATACAGATAAAGATTAGCTTGGTTAGTACCCAAATAAATCATTTTATTTTGTAGAGTTGCTAAGAATGGAAACAACTGGTTTTTGGTAAAATGGCGAGATCTGCCATATGATAATGCTACCTGGGAAGAAGAAGATTGTGAAGTTTTGGAGTTCAAGAAATATGTAGATGATTATTTTGATTTGAGGTAATTAACTAGTTCTTGTCTTGTATTCTATTTTTATTCTATATACCACTGGAACTTGTGTGATTTATGTGGACAGGTCTAGTAGTCAGATGGAAACTGTTGCGTCAAGAGACATACCCCTGGCATTGAATTTCTATGACTTTGAGGTTTATAACTGTACATCACTACAGTATTATTTCCAGATGCATCAATACATTGAGTTCCTATGGCTTTTCTGTGGTTAAATGTCTGGTCATTGTTGGATATGTCGATATAACTACATTACAGTAATATTTTCCTCAGGGTAATGTGAAGCGGAACGTATATTTGATACTATGTATTTGCAGATCTATTATGTTTGGTGATAAAAGAAATGGTGGTAAGAAGTCTGGTAAAGGTGGTAAGAAATCTAATCGTGATAGAGAATTATCATCTAAAATACCACCTTCTATACCTGTTGTTGATGTAAGTATACTATATTTCTGTAAATAACATAGTGTATTAAAAACACAACAAAATATATGATAATATACATAAAGTATTTGACATTTTGAAACATATATTTCAACAACTATTAAATTCACATATGATCTTGGTGACTAATTACGAAGTAGTATCAGAAACAGTTTGTATTTGACCTAGTCTTCATTTATACTTTATAATGGAATTGTATCTTTGATATTGGTGAACAGTAGGTATTTTACTGTAGAAGTCAGGGAGAGCATTTCTGTTTCTAAACTATGAATGAATGAATAAATTGTTTTGTTTTTTGTAGCTAAAGAGACAGTTTGATGAACAACCCAATTATATAGATAAAACAGGAGGTACTATCTATCCATATCAGTTGGAAGGTTTAAACTGGTTACGTTATTCCTGGGCCAATAATACTGATACTATATTAGCTGATGAGATGGGTCTAGGTAAAACTATACAGACCATTGTATTCCTTTATTCTCTGTATAAAGAGGTATGTTTACATTTAATACCATTAATTAATTAGTAGATATATATTTTAAAGTACAATATTGTATGTAATAAAACTAGAAACTTTCTCCCCCATTCAAACATTTGTTTTTAAGAAGGTCAAAAATTTAAAAGACTGTAACATGATGATTATTTGAATATTGTTTCAATCTCTAGTTATTGGCATTATTTGTTTGTTTTCTGTAGGGACACTGTAAAGGACCTTTTCTTGTTAGTGCTCCATTATCTACTATTATTAATTGGGAGAGAGAATTTGAATTTTGGGCACCTGATCTCTATGTTGTTACATATGTTGGTGATAAAGATTGTCGTACTGTTATCAGGTTAGTCTATTCATTTCATCAGATCTAACTTCTCTTAAATTGGTTTAGAATTAAAGTGTAAAAGAACATAGTATCTACAAGTTTAGAGACAAATAAAACTTATACATGATCAGCATTCCAAAACAGGTTTATTTGATCAAGAATATTGTATTTTGTAGGGAACATGAATTTTCATTTGAAGAAGGTGCTGTAAGAGGAGGAGCTAAAGCATCCAAGATGAAGGAAGGATTTGGTGTCAAGTTTCATGTTTTGCTAACATCATATGAGTTGATTAGTATTGATAGTGCTTTATTAGGTTCAGTTGATTGGCAAGTGTTGGTTGTTGATGAGGCTCACAGGCTGAAAAATAATCAATCAAAGGTAATATTTATTATGCATATGAATATTTTAATTCTGTTATGAATTTATTCTCCCATCATGTAGCAAAGCACTGATCAGATTCAGCTAATACCACCAGTATGTTAACTGTAACTTGTATACCAGAATGAATACAACTGTAACTATTTTCTTTTTTCCAGTTTTTCCGTATATTATCTAACTACAAGATAGGATATAAACTGTTATTGACTGGTACACCATTACAGAATAATCTAGAGGAATTGTTTCATCTTCTAAATTTCCTTACTCCTGAAAATTTCAAGTAAGCAACTATTATTATTATCTTTACATGCCCACTTGAATATTTTATAACTTTTTTAAACAAATTTTATGGTACATCTCTGCGATATGATTTAATAATCTTCTATCAAGAAATAAAAGAAATGTTAGTGATTATAAAGTGATAGTTATTCAACTTGTCTAATTAAAATTAGAATTTAATAATACTAATACTATAATTGTTTTTATTTTCAAGTGATCTTCAAGTCTTTCAAAATCAGTTTGCTGATATCTCTAAAGAAGATCAAGTCAAGAAATTACATGATATGTTAGGTCCTCATTTACTGCGTCGTCTTAAAGCTGATGTATTAAAGGGCATGCCATCAAAAAGTGAATTTATTGTTCGTGTTGAGCTTAGTCCAATGCAGAAGTAAGTACTCAAGCTCATCACCTTGTCATTCTGATGTGTGTGTTATGTTTGGATTGAATCATTCTTTAAAATAAAATGTTAGTAATACTCAATTGCAAGGGTTTGGCTAATAATTGTACTTCAAAATATTCGTTAGTTAAAAAAATAGAAAAACCTCAAGGAAATATGATTAAATGTTTATTAGTTGTATGTTTGCGTTTATCATTTTAAGAGTTTTATATTTAGAAATATTTTATTTTAGGAAATATTACAAGTATATTTTAACCAGAAATTTTGGTGCTTTAAATACTCGAGGTGGATGTCAAGTATCTTTACTGAATATCATGATGGATCTTAAAAAATGTTGTAATCATCCATATCTTTTCCCTACAGCTGCTGTGGTAAATACAAACTTAACTTCAAATCACAATAACATAAATGTATTTTTATGAGTGGTCCCACTTTTTGGAAATATCTGCCAGAGAATAATAGAGAAAATCCTGCATATTCTCAATTTAAATCAAAGTTAATAAAAACACATTGTGTTAGACATTATATACACTCGTGAAATACTTAAAAAATATTCAAATGTAATGAAGTGCTATAGAATACAGTTTTTATACGCCCACATTGAAATGTGGTCGTATATTGTCGTCGCCCCCGTCCGTCCGGCGTCCACAAAACGTTAGCATGGGGCAGAACTTTATAAAAACCAAACAAATTCTAATAGTTTTCTGATAATTACTTCGTGAGTTGTTGCTCTTAATCAGATTTTAGTGTATTATAAATACGATTTAGCTGCTGTGGGCGTATGTTTCGTTGCCTGGCAACCTATCTTTTCAATATTTGAAATGAAAACATAAATTATTTTGACTCGTAAATACAGTCAAAGCTCAAAATCTGAATATTGATACTTGATCAATCTGATTAAAACAGATCGTGTTTATAGTTCAAAATTTTGTTTTACTTGTCTTTACTACACTAGGATCTGGAAGATTTGTTATATAACCCACATTCTGGTTGATGTGAGGGATTAGCCAATGAAACTGTGTTGTGCACGGAACTGGGTATCACACTAGAAACATCAACGCTGATTTGTTAATCAAATGTCTGACATCATAGGGTCAAAAGCCGCTCGTATAACCCCTGACACAACCTTCTATTACAGCTGATTAGATCTTTGTGTAGTGGAGGCCATGGAAAGTATACAAAAAAAGAAACAAAATATAGATTTGTATTTTAAATCAGATTGATACTTGACGGGTAAACATAATTCATAATACCTGGTTTTACCTTTCACTTCAGGATGCTCCCAGATTACCAAATGGTGCTTTTGAAGGATCTGCTTTGATAAAAGCATGCGGTAAACTGGAGTTAATGTCCACAATGCTGTCACAATTACATAAACAAGGTCATAGAGTTCTAATCTTCTCTCAGGTAAATTAGTCTACTTTATTTTGATAACAAATTTAGGCTGTAATCTGTTTCAAGTCCTAGTTATTTGCTGCATAGCTGAATCAAAGTGAGGCATTGAAGGTGTACCCAAACTGTAATTTCTAGTATTTTGAGCACACATAATTTAAGAATTAATGTTCATAAATTTCAAAGTTTTGTATTGAATTCAGTTTGAACAAAAAAAAAAGTGGCTGTTTCAATTTATATTAAACTATTAATTATTCAATTATCTTAGATGACGAAAATGTTGGATATATTGGAAGATTTTCTAGAAGCAGAAGGTTATCATTACGAGAGAATTGATGGTGGTATTACAGGAGCAAATAGACAAGATGCTATTGATAGATTTAATGGTAAATAGACAGATTTCTCTTATCTTTAGGGTTTGCCTCTAATGTATTACATTACCATCTGACATGATTTTTATCACAGGATTTCAAATCCTGGGAACTTTTTGACTAATTAATAGTGTGTATTGGTATACAGGGTTGTATGAATTTTGAAATTGCAAAACATAGTGAAGATAGAAAGTTCTTTATGCTGTTCTGGTGATTTATTTAAAGGAAATCTTCTGTGATTTGTTTAATTGTGATAGTAGTTTCCCTGAGTTAAAACAGTTCTTTGTAATACATGTACTTTTGATGTTTTCAGTGCCAGGTGCAAAGGCGTTCTGTTTCCTGCTATCAACAAGAGCTGGTGGATTGGGTATTAATTTAGCAACAGCAGATACAGTTATTATTTATGATTCCGATTGGAATCCACATAATGATATTCAGGTAAAAGTTTTCATTAATGTTGATCAAAAACATCTTTTATTAAATGTTAATTTAGCCAAATTGTTTAAGTTCTGCAATGTTGGTTGTAATTTTTGTCACTTGCTTGTAGTTGACAAGGAGTTGTCTCCTGTCCAATCTTTGTGGCTTTTTTTCCAACCATTGAACAACACTGCACATATGTTAAGATTGTTATTGAAATATATTCAAGCTGCTGCTGATCTTTACAATGATTTTGAATCCTTTACAAACTAATATTGTTAAAGCTGAATCTCTAGAATGGATTTGAAAATTTTTCAACATTGGAAATCCTTTTGCAGACGACAAACATTTCACCACCTATAACTTAGGTAAAATCTTTTGATTGACCTCATTTTAATAATACTATTAAATTCCATTATGTAGTTAATGTTTTCTTTATCTTTTATAGGCCTTCAGTAGAGCTCATAGAATTGGACAAGCTAATAAAGTCATGATATTCCGATTTGTAACAAGAGCTTCAGTAGAAGAGAGAATTACACAAGTTGCTAAAAAGAAGATGATGTTGACACATTTGGTTGTACGACCAGGTTTAGGTAACAAGGGTGGTGCTATGTCTAAAAAAGAGTTGGATGATATTCTGAAGTTTGGTACAGAGGAACTTTTTAAGGATGAGGAAGGTAACATGAGCTTGGGTAAATAATGATTTAAGTAAACTTCTTACAGATTCTGGTTATTGCTTTGATGTATTTGATTTTGTCCCATCAGCAGTTGTCCGCTGGTTGTTGACCTGCTGTCAGTTGTCTAACCGGCAGTTGTCCTCCTAGATCCATGGCTTGATATATTTGATTTTAGGTGATGCCGTATGTTTGGTGCAATATAGCCCAGTTGGAGCTGACATGCCATTAAACCATATTTTATTCATTCATTCATTATTTTAGGTGATGAAAATCGTATTGTATATGATGCTTCAGCTGTATCTAAACTATTAGATAGATCACAAGTTGGTATGGAAGAGAGAGAAATGGCTATGAATGAATATCTTAGTTCATTTAAAGTGGCTAGTTACACTGTTAAAGAAGGGGAAGCAGAGGTAAACTGATTTCTGACTATTAGATTGAATGCATTAATTAAAAGCCGTACTGCTATTGAATTTGAGATTTATCTATTATTTCACTGGGGTAATGGTAATGGAATGTAATCATTACATTTAAGTAATGGCGATGTAATGAGTAATGGAAGATTTCAGGAGTAATGAAAATGTAATCAATTACATTCCAAAAATTATTTAATGGTCAATTATATTTCAGATACTTTTCAATTACATTTTATGGGCCTTATAAATATTTCCAATATAACTAGCCTCAGATTTTATAGCATCAAAGAAGTAAATTAGGTCTATCTGACACAAATACAATTCATTATAATTTAAAAAAAAAAGATTTACATCAGTTTTAACAATAAGAATAAGAAGGCATTAAACATTTTCTTTTATTACTTTTTATGTACATGTAAGACCCTTTTTAGACATGTTACCTAAAAAGTGGATTTCTGAAAAGATGTATATTGTAATCAATGATTAGTACCAATTTACAGGCAATCACTCAGTCGATCAATCAGTTAGATTAAAAGACAAAGTGTTACTAAACTTTAATCTTAAGCTCAAGGTGACAAATCAAACAATGGCCTTCAAGTATCTCATCATTTTATGGTTATTTAATATATATTTTGTTTTAGAGTCTGCTGAATAATTCATCAGTAATACAATTATTATAGACAAACTATTTGGATTGATTAATAATTTTATGAAATTACTTTTAAAAAAAGTTCATTAACTATACTTTCAATTGATTTTTCAAGTCATACAGTGAAAACATCAGTTTTTGTCACCACTGCCTTGATGTTATGATATAAGCTTATAGAAATAACAATGTGTCATATATAGAAATAACAATTTGTACAAAAATATCTATTATTGTGAATCAAGGATTTTTTTGAGTTTGCTTTTGTAGGCGCTTCATGGCAGAAAAATAATTTTTATTTATATACTCATAAAGTACTGGGTAATGGTAATTAATTACTTTCAATGTAATGGGTAATGGTAATTAATTACATTTCTAAAAATGAGAAAGTAATTGTAATGATTATGTTTAAAAAGTAATGGTAATGTAATAAATTACATTGGCAATGTAATGGCTCCAGCTTTGAATATTTGAAATGTTTAGCTTCAACTTTTTTTTGGCCGCTTGTTATTTGATAAGTTTAAGTACAATGTTTATTTCAGGAAGAACCAGAGACAGAAGTATTAAAACAGGAAGCTGAACATGCTGATCCAGCTTACTGGGAGAAATTATTACGTCATCATTATGAACAACAACAGGAAGATTTAGCCCGTACATTGGGTAAAGGTAAACGAGTACGTAAACAAGTCAACTATAATGATGCAATGAATACTCAAGATGAAGAAGCCTGGAAAGAAAGTGTTTCAGACTTTGATTCCGATTTCAGTGGTCATTCTGGCGACAATGGTAAGTATGTCTTAAATTTGACCAGTAGTTGCTTCTAACATTTTCTTAAGTAGTGTAAGATGTGAACTTCTAAGCGCCAATCTTATAAAGACCTTGTATTCTTGTTCCATGTGTAAAATAACCCAGAGTATATAACAGTCCAACCGTTTATGTAATAATGGAGATAAAAGCTGAAAGAAAAACATATTTATAGCAAACAAGAAGGTTTCCCCGACCCATCATACAGTCAACTATCATGACTGCCTCCAGCAACAGTGTTCTGCTGGACGATGTATCCTTAACCCCATTTAAGTCAGGTGACCAGAAGGAATTCCTTCTACCATGTGATTATCCAGGTTTACTATCTATCACGATGGAATTATTGTATTTTAAAACTTGTTGTTGATATATTTGAAGAATTTACTCAAAAACACAAAATCTTGTTTGAAGGTAAATAATAAATAAAGAACACTACGAGTTGGTATTTTTTAACATTTTTGGCGTCAAAATGTTGCTTATAACTTTGGATCATGTGGTTGGGATTATCGATATTTCTTCTTAGCATGAACTTACAAAATTTAGCATGAGAAAATTAGAGTTTGTTGTCATCAGCACCCTTTATCATGCTTTTGGGCAAAGTTTGGAACATAATTGTTAAATAAAATTGGTATTTTTTGGGTGATTACTTAATATGTAGTTGATCTGAGTTTATCATCCAAAATAACTAAAGATATCATATCTTATGAACCAATCTTATGGTAACTTACAGTTCTAGCTTTGAAATGTGCATTTTAGAGTACTCAATGTCCTTAATTGAAAAATTTAAGTTTTGGTGAATTAAAGATCATTTGTCTACATAATATAGAGGTTTTAGTTCAATCCTATTCCTATGAATTGTAAAAGGCTTCATGTAATGGGTAGGCCTATAGCATAGATTTATTGAAATTGTTGTCTAATTACAGTACATGATGAAGATGATGATGATTTTGAAGACAGAACTGATTGTAAGTATATGGGGCTATTCAAACTGAATTTTGATATTGATAATATTATGTATTTTACTTGGAGGATTCTCGGTTGAACATTCCGGAATTCAATTCCCTCAATCTAAAAAATTAACAGATTAACAGAACTGTCACAGGGCTGAATTTCTGCATCAATCGTTTGCAATTCTGTCAATTTGGGACCAAACTGACAATCAGGCATTCCATGAATGTCTTGATAGATGGGTGTAACTCAAAAATGTTAAAGGAGCTAAATCGCTAACATTTGGGGCCTAGAAATTGACAAAAGTGGGTCGCAACGGATATAATACTGTAATATGAATGTATATAAACTGTTTTACATTCAATGGTTTCCGTTTTTACTCCAATTTCAAATCAGTTATGTTCGGCGAAATAAGCCAGCAGTCTCAAGCGAGTGCAAATTTCTACCGTCTGGTTATTCCAGTCAACATACGCCGTTTGATTTGGTGCAATGTGTCTAGCCTCGTCCCTCAAGTCTCTTGATACAACGATTCGTGTACCAATGGTAAAATGTTTATTTTGTCTTAAATATTGGATATCAAAAGCCCATCTTTTTCCAGTAAGATCACAACATGAATGTTGATTTAATTTGACAAATAAATCGTGTTTTCAACGTTGAAGATTTTGGATGTTATTGAGTTAGAGACTTAGCTACTTTAATACTTACTTTTTCTCTTGGAAACTAGTTAAGTGGTATAGCAGTTATTTTGTATTGTGGATTCATCTTAATCATTTTTACAAGGATGATAAAATGTTATACATTTGTTGTATTTTATAGCTCGTAACAGATCGCGTAAAGGTAACGAAAAGGATAGACCATTACCTCCTTTATTGGCTCGTGTCAACGGTCAAATTGAAGTAAGTATGTTTTGTTTTAACAACATGCCAATTAAGTTTCCTTTAAATATGTCAAATTCAAAAGTGTACTCAGTTTGATTACTTACCATTTGATTAAGAAATCAAAATATCAACGGTAGATTATCTCCTGCTGGGATTCTGTTTTGAACATAGATTAAGGGTGGCACCGGCTCTTGACTAGATCCCATTTAATATATTGTCTGCAGTTTGACCAATATAGGACTTTTTGGGCGATTTACAATTAAGTTTTCTTTCTCAATGAAAGATTAATGGATTGGATGAGAACTTTCGTAGAATGTGTGCAAACTCTACTATAATCAGGAACAATAGAATTTTGGGTAAACTATGACATCATTGATTTTTTTAATTATACTGGCAACATACATTTTATTATGATTTCTGTTACAGGTTCTTGGTTTTAATGCTCGACAGAGAAAGGCTTTCTTAAATGCTGTTATGAGATGGGGAATGCCACCACAAGATGCTTTTAACTCACAATGGTAGGAATTTTTAAATTTATGATATAATTCACTGAATTCTGTTAATTAAAATATTGGAAATGCAAAACTAAAATGGTTTCATTTATGACTAGAAGAAATAAGGTGTTCCCAAAAACTGAAACACAAATGTAGACTATTTTGAATGACAAATTAAATTTACATTATAGGTTAGTTCGTGATTTACGAGGTAAAGGTGAGAAGGTGTTTAAAGCCTATGTTTCGTTGTTTATGCGACATCTTTGTGAACCAGGGGCTGATAATTCGGAGACCTTTGCGGATGGTGTACCAAGGGAAGGATTATCTAGGCAGCATGTGTTAACAAGAATTGGTATAATGTCATTAGTTCGAAAGAAGGTTAGTAATAAGTGATATACAGTACAAATAGTTAATATTTTAACACAAAGTTCAAAATACCAATATTCACATATTTACCTCTGATTGCAAAAATTGTCCTGTACTATTAATTGTATTAATTTTTTTTTAAATTTACAAATTAAGCTTATTAATTATTTTGATGTTCTAGGTTCAAGAATTTGAAGCTATAAATGGTACACACAGTATGCCATATAAAAGTGCTATGGAGGCTGTCGAGAAATTGAAGAAAGAGAAAGAAAGGGCTAGAGAAGAAAAAGAAAAAAGAGATGAAGCAGTTAAAGAAGAAGTGAAAAAAGAAGGTGAAGAAAGTAAAGATGTTGAAAAAGCAGAAGCCAAAAGTGACGAAAGCGAAGTTAAAGAGGAAGAAGGTGAAGAGGTTAAAAAGGAGGAGGATAGCGAAGTTAAAAAAGAAGAAGAAGGCGAGGTAAATTATTACTACTTTCCATTGCTTAAATAGGTTTGTTAATGCCAAATACACAAGAACCACTGATAAAATAAAGTTTTTGTCAAGGGGTATGTTGTCCTACAATGCTGAAACGAGCCAACAGAAATTCCACTTATTCAAGATGCATTATTCAAGAGACAAATCTGCCTAATGCAGATCTTTTGTTTGGCCTCAAATGTTGTATAAATCATTAATTAGACATTTATTCACATGCTAAGCCCATAAACTCTCTAGACTATTGGGTTGTTTTGATTTTCAACAGATTTAAACACAATTGCTAGTTAGTGATTTAATTTAAAAATGGAATATCAAGACTTTGTTATCATAACAGTGGTAGCTCAGAAAAAGTAATTTGACTGAAATTTTCAACATATTCCTTTTTCTTTATCTATTTTTTAACTGTTATATCGAGAACTGTCAGTTCTTCACCTAATTCTTACATAATGTATCTTAATAACTTGGTGTTGTTTTATTAGACTATCAAATTTCCTCTTTATATTTAAGACCAAGGCAGTAGAAGAAAAAGTTGAAGAAAAGACGGAAGAAGCCATGGAAACAGATGAAAAAAAGGAAGAACCTGTATCGGAAGTAAAAGTAGCAACGATGGAAACAAAGGAAACCATAGAAGAAACCAAAGAAGAAACTCCAACAGAAGCTGTAAAAGGTAATTAATTTATTTACTGCTTTTCATTAGATCAGTTTCATGAATTGGACAAATTTAGAAGATCAGTGCAGGACAACTGGTTTTTTTTTGTTTTTTTTAACATACAGTAGATATATTAGCCTTCTAAAATCAGATTATTATTATGAACAGTTTCTATTTTAACCCTTAACCGGTCCACGTCATTTTGACGTCATGACTACAAGTGGTCAGGCCAAATAAAGACTAAGGTGAAATATTTTATATGCCTATTTCAAACGACTACTGACGGATAATTATAAGTGATAGACTCTTGATACCTATAAAAAAGTTGAAGGGGATAAGTTGATCTATAATTTGCACTATTTCTTTCACCTCATTTCAAAATGAAAATTTTGTTAATTTGCATAATTAACGAAATTTTACATCTTTTTTTTTCGAAAACATGATTTTGATCACGAAAATGATTGAAATCGGCACCTTCACACGGTCTCTCGTTTCCTAAATCATTTTCATCAGAAATATTGTCTTCAGAATCGGGTTTCATCGATATAATCCGAGTCGGAATCATTCATAAGAATTTCAGCCACTTTGCCAGTCTTTAACCTTCTCGATATTGTTAAAAAATTATGTATTTTGTTAAAAAAAATGTTGAACAAAGACATGTTTTCCTCAGTGCCATCGACAAGACAATTTCCTGTCTGACACGTATGCGTGGCGATATCAATTAAATATGATTGTAGTCGACAATGACCGTTTATGGGTTAACCAGCATTATGTGTATCTTATAGAACAAAAGTCTGAAGATGAAAAGACGGAAGAGGAAAAGGTTGATAAGGTTGAAGAAAACCCTAAAGTAGAAGAGGAAGAAGAAAAGGTTACAAAAGAAGAAACAAAGGAAGAAAAAATGGAAACAGGTAGGCCTTTTTAATTAGATGTGCTTTATGGTAATGTTGTAACTGGAATATGGATTATTATAATAATATATTATAATCTAATCACTACAACATATAGAATATTATTCTGTGTGAGTTTAGGGACTAGAATCAAAGCTGTGATTCTTAGTCTACAAGGCAATACAGAACACTTGTACAAAATAATCCTATGGTAGATATTATTAAGAAATAATTTTATATATGAACAAAAAATATTTGTGTCTGATTGAAGTTTTCATCAATAGAATAATTGCGAAAGAATCTTTTATTAACTTGTTTTTTTTACGCCCACACGCAAATGTGGTCGTATGATGCTGTCCTCACTTGCTGTAATTCCGTCGTTCACAATTTCTTGTGAACACTCTACGGACTACATGTATCACCTGATTGTTTTGAAATTGATATTTTCTTTACATCATTGAGGTAAAGAATCCTATTTAATTTCAATAATTTCTGTTAATTTCTTCTGGAGTTATGGCCCTTGTTTAACGCTTCAACGACAATTGTGAACCCTCAAACGACGAAAATATAAGCTGATCTGTATGAAATTGTCTTGTAAATGCCCCAAATTACCTACAAAAGAATAAATATGCAACAACCCTTGTCGACTGCTGGGACAATTTAGCTGCTGTGGGTGTATGTTTCATTGCCTCTCAAAATACCTTTGCTTTATTTAGAAAATCTATGAACAATTGAATAAACAGTTTATGCTCACAAAACTGGTCTTATTTTAATCACTCAGGTGTTTTCGATACTTTATAAAGTCAATAAAATAGTAAGCATTTTGTAGGTATTGGCTAGCTTTAAGATAAGACTTGGACCAACTAAAACAAGATACATGTACTGTGTTTGCACTTATGGACTACATTTTATTTGCAAAAGCAGATCGTACTACAAGTATGAGTTAACTTAATATATCTCCTGTTTATTATCAGATGAAGTCAAACCCGAAGAAAATAAAAATGAGGAGAAAAAAGAATCATCAGAAGTTACAGATAAATCTGAGGAGGAAAAAATGGAAAAAGATGAGAAGGAAAAAGAAAAGCCAGAAAGTGAGAAAAAAGATAAAGATACTAAAATTGAAAAAGATAAAGATACAGAGACCAAAAGTGAAAAAGATAAAGATATCAAAAGTGATAAAGATAATAAAAGTGAAAAGGATGAGAAAATGGAAGAAAAAACTGAAGAGGGTTGTCAGAAATTTATGTTTAATATTGCGGATGGTGGTTTTACAGAATTACACACATTGTGGCAAAATGAACAAAGGGCACTACTGCCAAATAAAGAACATGAAGTATGGCACCGTCGCCATGACTACTGGTTATTAGCTGGTATTGTAACGTATCCTTTTAAATGCAAGAAAGTTTAGCATGGACCGGAGCAAATTCATGCAAGTAACATGTTCGCATTTCCTTGTTGATTTTATTTCTTCAAATTTTCAGTTATTATTCATTGGGGGTAGGATTCCTTAGGGAAGCCTGTTTGTGTTTTGGTTAAGAGGAAGTCTTCCTCCTGAAATACTTCTATAGATTTCTGCCTTAACATGTGATATAGTTATGGTTATGGTCGATGGCAAGACATACAGAATGACCCTAGATTTCAAATTATCAATGAACCATTTATTAGTGAACAAGGCAAGGGAAACTTCTTGGAAATCAAAAATAAATTTTTGGCTCGACGATTTAAGGTGAGATTTTTGTTCCAAATAAATTTTACTAATACAAGGTTCGCACACTCCTTGAAACTGCTTGAAAATCCTGGAAAAATGAAAATCTGATTTCCGGTACTGGAATATCCTGGAAAAGCAAGATTACTCCTTGAAACTCCTGGAAAATTAACATTTGTGGTTTCACTATATACTTTAAGATATAAAACTGAATGTAGTCATCGAATGTTTCTTCAAAAGTTCACGAGTTTGTCGCTGTAAATGTTCTTCAAACGTAAAAAAAAAATACATTATGGTGTAGAATTCTATACATGGACTCCTGGAATCTGGTAAATAATTTTATCATGCTACATCATATCATAATAATTGAAGTAATATTTATGTATTTGTATTACACAACAAGCCATTCATAATGTTGTTTCTGTTCAGTTACTGGAACAAGCTCTTGTTATTGAAGAACAACTAAGAAGAGCTGCTTATCTCAACCTGTCACAAGATCCAGCACATCCTGCTATGGCACTTAATGCCAGGTTTGTCTTTTATCATATTTCATGTTTTTATATGCCCACATTTTCATGTGGATGTATATTGTTGTCGCCCCTGTCCGTCCGTCCACAATGTGTTGACACCCGACATGTCACAAATTTTATCCAATTTTGATGAAACTTGAAATATATGTTTATCTCCAAAAGATCTTGTTTCCGTTCGATATTGGCATGTATTGGACCGTAACTTTATGGATTATTGACCCTGATTGTACGAAAAATCATGTTTTTAGTTTGTGGACACTCTGAGGTCACAATTTTTATCCAAAAATCTTGGTTCCTTTTGATATTCACACATATTGGACCGTTACTTCCTGAATTATGGCCCCTGATTGTATGAAAAATATTATTAGCTTGTGGTCCATCGAGAGGTCACAATTTTTATCCTATTTAAAAAAAAATGTCCTCTCCTTGTATGCAAATAGTGTAAAAGTATGTAATATCAAGGTTGTGGACCCTGTAAAGATCACAATGTTTATCCAATTTGATAAAATTTAAAATATATGTTTATATCCCAAAGATCTTGGTTCCTTTCAATATTTTCGCATATCGGACTGTAACTTCCTGGATTATAGCCCCTGATTGTACAAAAAATTTTTGGTTTTTTTTTTTTTTTTAGCTGGTTCTCTGTCCATCTCTTGCAAAATGTGTCAGTATCTTGCATAGCAACCGCTTGTTAAATTAGAAATGAGAACCCTTAAAGATGCATTCCCGCGAAAGTATTTGTAGGGTAGTTATATCCTATAAAGGTATTGCAAATTTGATATATGTATATATATGGAAAGTAGAGATGCCCAATCTTACTAGAAAACAAGCAGGCAAAAATATCAGAGTATCAATAACTGGCAACTGGACGGCTTATTGTCTGCCAACTTGACTTAGGAAGCACTTGATCAAATGATTAGCCATTGTTTAAACATACAACAGACTGATTAAATGGCAGAAAAAGAGTTTGGCAAAAGATAATCCAAGAATTTACTTAGGCTTCAATATGTATGGTCAATGGACAACAAACGACAAATGCAATCTGTAAATGGGCCCTCCCTCAATCAAGTTACATGACAAACAAGTCTGCTTAAAATACAGTTCTACAGCATGAGATAATTTTTACAAATTAAAAAATTTTGAGAGTGATTTGAAGCAAACGTTTGATAGAGAAATTAGTTGGAATATGGTTTTAGTCCAAATATATCACCAAATCACACAGGTTGTAGTGGAAAGGCATCTTTAAGTTAAAAGAAAAAATAACACCAATTACAGCAGGAATTCTTTAGTATAATTAATATACATTACATGAACACATGGCAAAATTCTTCAGATTTTTGTAAATCGGGAATAGTAGTGCTTGACAAGTAGTATACCCTCGTTATTTCATAATTAAGAAACCTTAGACATCATACTAAAATGATTTAATTTCTATTTATTTGATTTTGTTTGTTTTAGATTTGCTGAATTAGAATGTTTAGCTGAAAGTCATCAGCACTTATCTAAGGAATCTCTAGGTGGTAATAAACCTGCTAATGCTGTTTTACATAAAGGTACTATTTAATTCTTAGCTTCCTCAGAAATCGGTTTGCAAGTAATTGGAATTTGTAGAAAAATTAATTAAGTACACAAGACTTCTGCATATATTTTAGAAATAGTTTCCAATTATTTTATGAATCAATGTTTATTCTTCAGTGCTAAATCAGTTAGAAGAGTTACTGAGTGATATGAAACAAGATGTGGCTCGTTTACCAGCTACATTAGCTCGTGTTGCTCCAGTTACACAAAGATTACAGATGTCTGAAAGGCATATATTAAACCGTTTGGTTAATCCTAATCAACAAAGTATTGGACAATCTGTATCAACCTCTAGTGCTGCAACTACATTTATTCAATCACCTTCCACCAGTTCTACTCCTTCAACATTATCGAAGTCAGGATTTTCAGCTCCCTCATCATCTGGTGGCTTTCCTCCTGGTCTAGCTGGTCTGCCAGGTTTTAGTATGTCTTCTTCTAGCTATACACAAGGTAGGATTTTTAAAAATTGAAGAGTTAAATTGGAAATTTTGAAATATTTAGAAACATTATGCTTTTAGCATACTGTATTAAAAATTGTAGATTTATTATGATATATAGAATGGTTGTATAAACAAATGTGTGTATAGCAATGTGGTGTTACCTATAGAATATGTCTATATATGTATAAAACATAAGAATTGTTCCAGAAGAAATGAATTGAATATTCTTGGTCATAATATAACAAAGTTACAGCTTTTTCTTGAACAAAGTTCCCTCAATTTTTGTTTAAAATATAGCCGAAAAAATTAATTTTTAGCACTCTCACTAGATTTCTTATGGAACAGTCCCTAAATTAAGAGCTTATATTATTTCTATTGGATATTAAGAGCTCTTGTTTTCAGGTGGCAGTGTTTTTAATAGTGAATGGCTTACTGTAGTTTTTAAATGTAATATATATGTATATATTATTTACAGTGCTTTTTATTTTGGAATGTAGGTGTATGTATACATAGTATTATTAAACAAAAACAAAGCAGGGAAACACATCAGGACAGTTTGTCCATAATTAAAGTTTTAACTTTCTTTTGTAAGATGAAATTTAGTTTTATGTGTTTAACTACTATTTCTTCATACACTTAATCTTGCTTTGCTTTTAAATGTAAAAGAATGTAAAATGTAAAAGAATTCCATGACTTATATCTGTAATGATTGGACTGTATGAATATGTTATGAAGTTGGTTGGGTGGCTGTTTAGTCCAACACATGCGCTTTAGATCATAAGGTCTGTTATTGAGTCAAGTGGTGTGGTTTTGAACCCCAGCCTGTAAGGTCACCAGTCCAAGTTCATCGTCCTTCAGTTTCCTCTCGCTTCTAATATCCCCTAGAACTAGAAGCAAATAATTGAAACAAAATTGGATGTTAAACCCCATTTTTATACGCTAACATTTTCATGTGGACGTCTATCCACAATTGTTTGTTGACACTCTACAGGTTACAATTTTTATCCGATGTTGATGAAACTTGAAATATAGGTTGCTATCAGTTCCTTTCGAAATTGGCATGGATTATGGCCCCTGGTTGTACGAAAAAGCACGTTTTTAGCTTGTGGACACTACTGAGGTCACAATTTTTGTCTTAATTTTGATGAAACTTAAAATGTATCACCTTGACTCCCTAATGGTGGTTGAGTTCGATTTTTGTGAAAATGAAACTGGCTGCTCCTTGTACTCAGTGTAAAAGTATGTAATACCAAGGTTGTCGACCCTCTAGAAGTCACAATTTTTATCCGATTTTGATGAACCTTAAAATATATGTTTATGTCCAAGAGATCTCTGTTCCTTTCGATATAATCGCGCATATCGGACCATTACTTTGTGGTCGCTGATAGTACAAAAAATCGCCTTTTTTTTTTAGCTCGTTCTGCCCATCTTTTGCAAAATGTGGTCGTATCTTGCATGGCAACCGCTGGTTTTCTCACTCTATAAAGTACCGCAAGTATTTGACGATACTGACAGATGGCTAAACTGTGTAGCATGTTTAATAGTTAGTATTTCAATGACTTAGATTAATATTAATGCCCCAATATGCCAAACTAAAGGTTAAATAAAGAGTTTACCAATAATATTTAAAAATGAATCTATTGTAACCTAATTTAAAGTTTATCTTGGCTTATGATTTCACATCACCATCTTTATCTGTCATAGGCATATAAAGTAATAATAGTCTTTTTCTATAAACTAGCTTATTCTTCATGAATCCAAATTAAGAATGTGTATTTTTCTGAAAATCTCAAATTCCTCATGGCTTACTCCATGCTAATATTTTATCCATAAGCTGATTATTTAACATTGAATTATGAAAACAAAATCCAAATACTAACGCTCGATAATCTTGCGGCTTGGATTCAATCGTATTTAAAACAGACATCTCGTTGAAAAAGGTGGCAGCATATAGATCGATGGAATTTTCAGTATTCTTCACATCTTTGTAAATATTGAACAGAATTGAACCATTTTGCACTGATATTCCCATTTTACACTATTGTAGTTTGCAGTTTATGGTGTTGGCTTGATTTATACATTGTGCAGTCCCGTGTAATCATTCTATAAAGTTATCAGGCATTTAAAAGAATGTTATAATCTGCCCTGTTACTGACTGGCCGCATACCCTTCAGTGAGAATACCAGTGCATCTAAATTGCTTATGTGAAATTTATTGTTAGTGGTTCAATGTTTTTTGTTTGGCTTGTGGTTTGATGAAAAATATTTGTGTTTTTATACGCCCACATTGAAATGTGGTCGTATATTGTCGTCGTCGGTCCGGCGTCCACAATTGCTTGTAGACGCTCTAGAGGCTAAAGTTAATATCTGATTGACTTTAAATTTATACACAGTGTTTAAGGTCTTGAGACGAAGAAGCCTATTGATTTTCAGCGATTTCCGATAATTACTACCAGAGTTATGGCCCTTGATCACTTTGAAAAATCTTGTGGACGCTCTAGAGGCCTAAGTTAATATCCAATTGACCTTAAATTTATACACAGTGTTTGAGGTCATGAGACGAAGAAGCCTATTGATTTTCAACGATTTCCGATAATTACTGCCCGAGTTATGGCCCTTGATCACTTCAAAAAATCTTGTGGACACTCTAAAGGCCAAAGTTAATATCCGATTGAAGGGCCGGTCACACAGGCTTCCGCGAGTTGATCACGTGTAATTTTGCTATAAATTTTGCAAATTTTTTCTACACGCGGTGAAAATCAACCAATTTGTCTCAGACATGCTGGACACGCGAATGACAAGTGGACCACACGCGCGCGTGTGCATCGCGTGTCCACCACGAGTCCTCCGTGTGTGAGCGCTTGTGGTCAGAAAATGGGGTCACACGCAGCGCGTGTGTATCACTTGTGCTCCACATGTGCTCCGCGTGTGAATCACGTGCCGATCACTTGTGCTCCGCTTGCCGCCCGCGTGTATAAAAGCCGCCGCGTCCGGTGTTCTGGATCAGTATCGATCAATATTCCGTAGAGTAAAGATCAAAATCATGGCACCGAAATCAAAGAAGGGCAACTCCACGCCCAAGAAGATGAAGAGGCAAGCAAGGCCCAGGCCGAAGGCAAAAGTCTCGGAGCCTGAAACTGCTACCGAGGAGGTGGAGAGCAGCACCCCCGAGCCCCCCCAGGGCAGCAAGAACAGGCAGTCCAAGAAGATGGGCATAAAGGTGACGGCTCGTGTACATGCTGCTGCTGCCGCTGCTGGTGTCCCTGGTTCCAATGGCAGTGGAGAAGAGGACGAGCTTCTTCCTGATGGTAAGTACAATTTATGTAACATGTTTTTGATTTTTTATTTGGAAATACTCGTTACTAGTATAACGTGACGTGTTCAAAATTTATTTTATTTAAATATTCGTTTACGTGGCTGTCAGAAAGTATTCAAATTTATTTATTTCAATTTTATTTATGCTGAAGTGTTCATTTGATATGTATGTTTTTCAACATTCCTTACTATTTATTAAAAATACCTTTATTTTCTCTTTTCATTTTGTACAACAGTTGCAAACACTCCAGTCAGCACGAGTGGTCCTTCTAAGAGCACTGCCACTATGCCCGTCGCCACTCAGGCTGAGCCACAGCTTGTGCCACTGGAGAACCCTGCCTCACCTTCGTCACCTGCGTCACATGACCCCACACCCGAAGTTCTGGTGCGAGAGGAGCCTGTGGAGGAGCAGAAAGAGGCTGATGGTCATGCCAAGGGCAAGGGCAAGAAGCCGAGAAAGCCAAGAGGTCCCAAGAAGGAGTGGAAGTTGCCACCTGACACAGAACAGGATCTGGTTGAGTGGATGCGAGACAGAAGTTACTTGTGGATGCGCAGTCAACGTGACTACAAGAAAAAGACAGAAGCCTGGGAAGCTAAAGCAAAAGAAATTGGTATCTCGACTGACTACCTCGGGCACTGGTGGAAGAACTTGAAGGACTGGTACGTCAGGCTGATCAAGGTTGCCAGTGGCCAGGAGCGCAAGCTTCTCACCGACAGGGACAAGTGGGTGCTGAATAATATTTCCTTCTACAAAGGTCAGTACATATGTTGATAATTATTTCAAACATTTCCATTTTTCAAAAGCATTTTTGTACATTTAATTTTAAAATTTAAAACATAATAATTACTACGATTTAGTGTAATGATTATTCAGAAATTCACTTGTCCCTAATAACAGTCCTTTAATATTGTTCAGAAAAATTTGAATGCAAAACACTTAACAAACGTTTACCTTCTTTCAGCTGCCATACCTGATGAAGAATCTGACACTGTCATGCAGATCCGACGTACTGCTGCTGCTGGCTCTACTACTGGTTCTGCCGCTGGTTCTGCCTCCACGTCCACAGCAAGACCCCCTCTGCTATCCTTGGATGACCCAGCTGAGACGGAGAGACAGTCAGGCAATGTGCTCGAAGACCTCGAGAGGGAGGCAGCAGAGCTCGGATCAGTCAACTCTAGTTTCCAGCACAGGAAGAGGAGGAGGAAGGAGGACGAGGCGGAGAGCTGGATGCCCGAACTTCGTAAAAATCTTCAGACCAACCAAACACTCCTTGCAAAGCTGATGGAAAAAATGCTCGAGGACAAGGAGAGGGAGAAGAGCCAGCGTGAACCCTTCATAAGCTATGTCACCCAGACTCTCAGGTCTTGCAGTCTTCAAGACTTCAACAATGTCAAAGAGCTCATATCGGATATACTGAAACAGATAAAGGCTCAATCTGAAAGACCCTCAGCTTCCACTTCGGCTCCTCCAACTTGCACAGCCGCCTCCTTTGGGCAGTATCATCAGTACCATCAACAGTACCCTCAGCATCAGCAGTACTTCCAGACACAGCCCAACTATTATGCCTGGCAGCATGGTGTAGGGGGAGGAGGGGGAGGATACCAACAGCAGCAGCAGTACCCTGGGCAGCAAGAGCTTCAACAACCCAACCTCAGTACTCCTCGTCAACACACAGCATCTTCAGAATCGATGTCC